TTTTCTGCCAACCGAGCTCGAGAAAAATATTTTGTGCATGTTTTCTGTATAACATATTTGAGTGTATACGAGCATTGAGAATCAATGGGGAAATTCTTACTCCTTAATTAGCCATTTTTCACAGTGTAATTTTTACAAGCGGCTGGAAGTAAGAAAGATAGATAATTTTTATTAAAGACCCGTCGGGGTCCCATCAAAGCTCGTTTAAAAGTCCGTATCCTGGCGTGACTTAAATATTTTGGGACTGTGCCGCGCGGCAGTTAGTCTTATGACCTTACTTAGGTGATTTTTTCTAATTGGAGACACATTCCAGAATGTCAGTCAACGTTTCATGAGATAGCACATCTGCTGTAAACGGATATCATGTCCCTCGCCTGTCAGTGTAGGTACGCCGTTAAGACAACCGTTGTATTTCAAGTTAAACCCAAAGGGTTTCCTCAGTCTCATGGATCTCGATACTTTAATAAATCTGCGCAAAACTGACTTTCGCCAGACATTTAAACTTTGCTGACCAATGTGTCTGCGGCACAGGAAGCGGGCGTGGAGCTTTGCAAGTCGACAGTATTCAGACGTATTTGTATTTCACCGACGTGTCAGAGCAGTTTATATTGCAAGATCTCTACTAAACTACCCTAACTCTACTTCTTGGGTGTGCAGAGTAAAAAAAGCATATTTTGTGTATTTTTTCTATAAAATATATTCGAATTTAAAAGACTGCCGAAAATCAATGCGAAAGTGTACACTAACTAAGTGATCATTTCTTACCGAGATCAGTCACTCACTGTAGGTAGCATTTCTCGACGATTTATTGTTAGTATTTACGCTACGGCTTGTGCTGGCTTCTGACTTAGAGCACCAAGAAAAAACAGAAGTGTCAATTCTCGTTCAGCAACCAGGATACATCGGCAAAAGCCCTTCTCGGGTTAAAGTCCTGTTCATTACACATAATAAATCTCGCAAACTGTTATTAGCATAACAGATACTTGGAGGAAATTTTCAGAAGAACAAGCCCCGAATCTAGTCGAGAACCCATATTTCGTCGAGGTCGGAGGAGCAACGCCACCTACTGGGAAGTGATTAACTGCGCGTCGTTTATTTCACAGGAAGGAACACACGCTCAAAATACGCCTAATGCTCTCTCCTCTTTTAGGACTTGGCATAAGCTTAGTCACGGTGGTTGCCCACTTCCTTTGTCTCCTTCGTACGCGTGTCCCATGTGTGCCGGTTCTTTATATCGTTAGAAAAAAGAATTGGCTCACGCACACCCTTCCGATAGGGAATAAAGACCTCGTTTTAAGTCTGGTTAAGTAGTTACATCCGCTTGGGAGTTAACTACGCGCAATACAGACAAATCATCAGTTCCTTAAAATCCCATCTCTGAATAGGTTACTAGCCATGACGCATATAGGGACCGGTCCGACCTAGTGTCATCGACGTAGCTAAAAAGCATTTACTATCATTAGTAAAATTCTAACAAGAAGAGTGCAGCTAGTTATAGAAGCTTCAGAAATAAAGACATTAAAATAAGCCTTACAGGCGATACTTCAGAGGAACTTATCCCTATTCATCACGTAAAATATGGAGGTGAGTCGTGCTGCGAGTGAGCAATGGAAAAAAGCATTTTGAAATGCGAAGAAGCACGTACAGTCAACTTGGCTGGTCGGAACTGTCAGAAAACCTTCCTTATCGACAGGAGAGGTCGAATGCTCCATCTTCAAAAAGGTTTATTATGAAAGTTACTTCAAACATTGCATAGCGAATAACTTTCGGAGTCGTAGATTCTTCCTCCCATGACCAAAAAGTAACCTTAGGGACACCGTACGACTTGGTCCTTCCTGCGGTCACTTAGCCAAACGAAGAAATGCTTAACGAAATCGTGCTGCTGATCATTTACATTATAATGTTCGATAGCATGGAAGCCAACCTGCGCTAAACTGACCTGATTACAGTACGAGTCAGGCTATCTCTCCTGTTGTATCACGCTGCCCATGTCAGGACCCAAGTGGCGAACTCTATTGTCAGCATGAACATGCGGGGTCAGCCAGCAGATCATGAATCTGTAGTGCTGTATCTTGAGCGTTGAGAGAAATGACACGAGATAGAGCCTTCACTTCTCCGACTGCCTGACGCCTAGTAATCAAAGAGAAGATGGCCGGTTCAGTTCTTCTACCTTTGACGACACAATTCAGAGCTCATCCGCAGCTCATCAGGCTACAAGTGATATTGACAAGCGTCTTCCCTACCGATAAAGATAAGTTGCCTACTCACGGCCCTCTACCGTAGCGTAGTGGAGTCCAGATACTTATCAGTGATAGCCCATATTTGGAAGCCGCATTTTTGACCAATACGATTTATTAACCATTGCCGGATGGATAAATGTTTATGTGTTCACAACACGACTAGTCTTATAGTACGAGTGCGTGGGTCACGCATCTGAAAGTAGTATGAAAAGTAGGTGTTACATCCTGCAAGTGTCAGATGCGTCAACGGCACTGTCATGTGACTGTAAATACTGTCAGTCATTGTCGAAGAAGCATGGTTCCGTGATAAACAGGTTAACTTTGAAGCAACTGAACCCGGGTCTGGATCCCAGGCCTGCTGATCCGGGATCGAGGCTATTTATGACTGGCTTGCAATGGCTGCCCGACCTTAATGAGCACTGACTAACTTAACATAAATTTCGCAAGCCACCTTTCGTTATGTTATGCATTTTAGGTTGCGCTTCCTCAACGAGTGGATCCTCTTCAACGCACCAGAAGTATTTTGGATTTCCGGTTTCTACTTCACTCAGTCCTTCCTGACTGGTGTCCTGCAGAACTATGCTCGCAAGTATACCATCCCCATCGACACCGTGGGCTTCGATTTTAAGGTGCTCAAAACCTATGTGAACTCGGTTGTGGAGCCGGATGATGCACCCATATACCAGAAACCGAAGGTCAGCAAGAAGGGTAAGGAAGAGAAGGACAAGCAACCCGCTCAGACTGAACGCCTGAACAAATTTGAAGGATTGAAAAAACCCGCAGACGGAGCCCTAATAACAGGTCTCTTCTTTGATGGCGCCAGGTGGGATGCGGAAAATGAATGTATCGGCGAGTCACACCCGAAGATCCTCTTTGACACGATTCCAGCGGTGAGTTCGGTCTTCTAATTTTCGTCAGTCGACCTTGACATAAAATTCTGAGTTAAGAAGGTTCGGGTTAGGTAAGATTCCCAGCCCCCTAATGTGAATGTAGAGAGCAGACGAATGTGATAGATGAGTCGGCGAAGGTCAAAGAAGGGCTAAAATAAGTGGGAGTAACGCCACTTAACTTGAAGAATGTACATCTGAACTGTCGAGGATCCCATTTGTACTTGACATCTCTCCGTTTGGACTCATTCTGAAAGCATTTTTTTCTTAGATATGGCTTGTTCCAATGAAGATCCAAGACATTGACTCGGAAGGCAAGTACCACTGCCCAGTTTACAAGACCTCCGTGCGCAGAGGCACCCTTTCCACGACTGGCCACTCAACCAACTTTGTTCTCACCATGCTCATCCCCACGCACGAGCCCGAGTTCCACTGGATCAATCGGGGCCTTGCCGCTCTCTGTCAACTAGATGATTGAATAGGCCTAAACACAAGAATACACAACCTAAAATACACCGGCGAGTTTATCTTTTATTCCATCCTCTCTTCTAGCACAATTCAGGTAGGAGGTGGGCCACGCCCCAGACACCAAATCTCCATCTCAGCCGATTAGCATTACATGTATGTAACCGTCAATTCGCATATAACTGCAAGATGGAGGTATCCTGCTACTTCACTAAGCACTCAGTCGACTAAACTCCTGCGTGACTCCTTTCCCTCAGGAGGCGGGGGGGGGGGGCTTATCATGTGGACGAGAGGTCGGGCACAGACTAAAATATTTGAAGATAAAAGTGAGTGATAACACTCTTGTCCGATTGAGTCAATTGGGAAAAAAACTCGGAGACATCGGCGAGATTCGGACCCGCGACAGTAAGCTACTGAACAGCGCAAAACATGAGGATACTTAACCGTAAGGACTCGAGGATTTTTTCTCGCCCGTAGGTAAGCGGATCGGACTGTCCGCACCCTACACAACGCCTAAACCCTATGTACGGGATACTGTCCTCTGCGGCCAACGTGAGCTGTGCTATGAATCGCAGACGCAACTGACTTTAAGGCCTTTGGTAGTACACACCCCACTTAACCGAGAATTTAAGAATAGCCATAATTTAAGACGAAAACGCAACGGCCTGCTGGCCACAAGCCCAGTCAGAACCTAAACTCGCTCCTGTCGCCCTTGAAGATGCCGAGTCCACAAAGCAGCCTGCCCACGCATTCATTACTTCAGGAAATAAGCCGATACTGTGCGTCTGTCGAGGCGGAAGAGCTCAGATCAGTTGCGATGGCGGTCCAGTCACTCTATCCAGAGAAAAGGACGATCAAACTCACCTGAAAGTAATGTCCAACCGCGAGATATTTAGACGCGGCGAAAGACCAGCGTGGTCTACACACCAGCAGCCTTTTCGTGTATTGTTATCAGAATATGATCCGAAGGACGAGAAATATACTCGTTAAGAGGCTGGTGACATCTGTAACCTCAAGATGCTCACTAAGTTGTCACGCGCGAATCGGGACCGGAATCTAAATTAAGTCGGGAACGAATATGCGGGAGCCGAGTCCCCATTCCCGGCGTGAAATTCCTATAACTACGAGTAGATGAGATCCAGCCTTGATAATAATGTCACCCCTAAATCACAAGCATCGAGAGAGTATTGAACGCACTTTCCCACAGGGCGAAAACCTTCGGGAATATCCGTATGAGGTTATTGCATATTAACTCCCGACAAGACGGACGGGTGACTACGACAACAAGTCAGGATGCAGTTTTCTCCACAAATGCACCTTAGGAGATGAAATTGAACCACCGAAGAAGGCAATCAACTCGGGAAAAGTTTACAGATTTCACTATACAGGATACAGTATGCGGGAACGTTCAATCCCTAGGGCTGCCGTCGGAGTCCGGAATGGATAGACTCTCTTCGGAGATGTCGGAACCTTCTTCTTCCTCTTCTTCAGTAGTCACTTCTGCGTCCATCATGTCCATTGTATGGTCTTCTTGCTGCTGGTCATTCAACGACCAACTGGCGTCTATCTGTGTGATACGGATGTCGTGTACATCGTAAGTGAAGACTGGCAACACTGCCAGAGGCGCAGACAGACCCTTCTCCAAATCTGCTTGGAGGTCAATTTCGTAGCCACGGACATAGCTTCCATCGAGATCAGTGCTCGCTGTCACCACGATTTTCCGTCTACTGGAACGAGCCTCCAGTTCTGACTGCACAAGTCTGTCTGGCCAGGACAAAACCTTGAGAAATTTCACCCTCTTCCCCGGCAGTCGCGTTTCCCCTAGGGCCTGTATCTCCCCTCTCGCCTCGGGCCACAGAGGACAGCGGAAGGCCCGCAACATGTTGCCGAAGGCTGCAAGCAGATAGAGGTAGGGCCGATCCACTACATGCGGGTCGTCCTCATGGAAGACAACAGGGGAAGTGGAGAAGGGCCTTTCAAATTCACAGCTGGCTAGCGGTTTGACTCCGGTGCCGCCTGTCGGGAGGGAAAGACTGATCAGGTCGAAGCGATTCGGCCATAGCATGAGGAGATGGCGACCAGAGGGTGTAAAGGACACATCAGTGGCACCACTGGCAAGGGTCTTAAGTCGTACAGTGTATGCCTGGCGACCGCGGAGGAGATTCCACACACGCAGGGTCTTATCATCGCTCAGAGTGAGGGCGAGACGACAGGAGGGGTGTAGTGCAAAGGCACTGATGGGACCCTTGTGTCGACGCATCTGGCGGATGCACTGCCAGGCGGGCACGCGTGAGGACAACTTGCTCCCAACTTCGGGGCCTAATGTTGTCGTGGAGACTTGCTGGCGCCAAATCGCGAAACACGAGTCTTCCCCGCAGCTAAGAAGATGCCGCGGTTGCCGGCTAGTGGTGCCAAGGTCGGGAGCAAATTGCAGGTGACGAACACATCCAGTGTGCAGCTCAAGGCAGCCAAGGCGACAGCGTCGAGACACGGAGAACACCTGTTTTTTTTTTAAAGAAAGAGAATAAACACTAACAGAAAAGCACCCAGAAGACAAGCAACCAACTAGACACGAAACCTTGGTGATGCAGGACGTCTACGGGTAAAGTATGCGTTGAAACGCATAAAACAGTTGTACTTTTGAGTGGGGAGATTACTTAAGTGGAAGAATGATAAGTATGAGACTATCACAAGTTGGCACATACGTCCGCTGAGAGTCGTCCAAGACATTTACTTCAATAGAACCCCAAAATTATCCAAGTGGCGTAACGTTTTTTACGTCCTTTGATAAAAACAACTATTCTTTGAAGAAAATGTTGGAAAAAGTCATTACAGTCCTTTTGAGAAGGCCGCTTAAGTTAAGTCAGTTTATTAAGGGAATGAGGCTTTCGCCCTTGAACTCCCTCTTCCTTGGGAAATTTATTCAACGAAAGAAATAACTGACGTTTAAACTCGAAAGAAAGTCTGAATACACGGCTTCCCTGCGGTTGATCATGAGGCACAGTAAATATTCGAGATACACTGTTACGAGTGTTGGAACATCCTGTCGAAGTAATACGAGAACTATGAAATTGTTTGAAAAAAATGCACGAAAAGAAGGCTAGAAATTCCAATAATGTGGTAAATGTAAGACATATTTCAAGAAACAGGAAGTCAAACGTGTTCAGCACCCCAGTATTTTTCTTCGCGGAATCACTGAAACAAGACACGATCATAGCTGTATCAAGTACACGTACGTGAGTACCCAGGTATAGAATTCATGTTTAGTCTGAAATGCAGATGGACTTAACTCTGTCCAGAAACCACACTGATAAATAGACACTTAATTGGTGCTTTTGGCATATCTGAATAATGCGATTGATCCAACTGTGAAAACCTCGGTGGCCTCGGAGGCCGCCGAGTTCTCCACGAATAATTGTCAGTTGAGAGTTAACCAGAAGACAAATACTATTAAACCGGTTATTAATAAGGCGTGTGAAGCATTAGGATTGCAATGCCAAGAGCATCCAGTCTAGACATATATACTCGCCACAGGCTTGGCGTGAAGGACCCGCGAGGCACTAAGTCAGACTTAACTATCGTGGCATGCCTCATCAGCTATCCTTGGCGCGAAGCAATGACAAATAATCGAAAGGAAGATGGACACTTAGGTAAAAACGAAACATGCGATAGCAGTACTTTGGAAAGAAAGATCCACAAGCGTACAAATAAAACTTAGTGCGGATCCGACGGTTGTGTATGAGTTTACAGCTAGATTTCTCATAAATGGGGAACCAACCGAGCCAGGTAAGTCGGTATCGTCATAAAAAGTTGCGCTAGCTATAAGGGCCATAACATCCAGAGCATTCCGTCGTTCGCGCAAGAGGCTATGAACTCAGTAGGGAATACCTGGATGACTTCATCTGAACTCCCAGACACAATGAGATCGCCACCCAGAGCAAGAGCAGTGACAGGCGAGGGATGCGCGTCCGGATCGATAAAGACTGGCTTCAGGAGGGATGGGCCATTAGGGTTGATTTTAGTGTGCTCATGGGTCATAGCGAAAACGGTACCATCGTATGAGCCACATGCGACTACCAAACGAAGTGGCTCCGTCTGGTTCTCCATCTCTAAAAAAAGAGTTCACTTTGAGAGAATGAAGTGGAGAGTCGTGAAAATGGAAGAGTAGGGAGTCAACACAAGGAAGAGCATGATCTTTCAAGATGGGGAAAAAAGTTTTCCCAAAAATGCGAATTGGTTCACGGCAAAAACTAGAAAGCAATTTTTTAATAATAGGAACACTTGAATTGGGGAAAAACTTAAGTACCACGCCTAACTATGTATACACCAAGCATTCTAAGACAACTGGAGAAGCTAGACTGGGAGGACAGACCGTTGGAGAGTCATAACGGATAGCAGGGGAATTGCCAAGCCCAATATTAAGGATGACTCAAAAATAACTACTAACTGACAAGTCATATGAACTACAAATCCACCAAAGAGGTCATGCGAAGTGACAACCTGGAAATCGACACTTTTATGTCAGTCAAATTGCTGGCCAGTAGGTCATGCACCCGATGGTTCGCAAGATCCATAAAGGCGACTTTCGCGTTAAAGACGGGTTAAGCTGCTTAAAAATAAGGGCCCTAAATTACAAATGGTGAAAAAATATCGCTGGAGTACGGGCCTAATAAGTGTTACCTTTCGGCGCAAAATTGTGATTTAAGCTGGTTAGTTGGACGCGTAAATGAAATCTTAGAATTGCATGAAGGCAACTTCCACTTTGCTGGGGTCACTTCACTAGTGCGCCAGCGCCGTCTGAGTCGCCTCGACCGGCAGCTCTAGAGCTTGATTTTCGTTGAGACAAGTCTTAGAAGACTGGTCTTCCGCTTTAGGGTAATGAGCGCCTTGGCGGCAAGAGGAATAGTAGCAAATTCTGTGAAATTTCCATCGGTTGATGTCTAGGAGTTATGCAAAATCGGCGTCAAAAGAAAAATACACATACCACAACTAAATTCTATGAGTGAACTAGTATACGCGACCGTAGTTCGACTTAAACAAGTGGTCGTTAATCGATCAGATGTTTCTCCATAGTGCGATGGAGTGTGGACTTGATAAGATGAATAGAAACGTACTACTTCCCATTCCTTCACCGGCGCGACGGTTTAGGGAAATATCGATTTCTCACAATGTGAAACGAGGGATAAAAAAGTGATAATGGGGTGTCGGGAATTTTAGAGATCGCTGGGGTAGACGTGCCGGTGAAAATGAGCCTGTGCCTTGTAGATAGCTTACCTGATTCGCAACCAAATGACCCACATAATCCACACGTATGCGTCTGTATCTGGTACGGATGATCATGCCTGACCCAGACAGCTATGATGACGCTGCAGTATGGCAGTCTGTGGCAACGCGCCTGGAACGCCCGACCAGCTCTTTTCTCCACTAATCAAAACCGAATACTGGCGAACCAAAACCCATTCTCATGCCCTAGCGGATTCTGCCGAGACAGGTTTTGAACCGACCTCATCAACGCCTTTAAGTAGGTGGCGGCGAAGAAGCTGTTGGACTACTGGGAGCCCTCTGTTCAAGATCTCAAAACGAGATCTTTGCTAATAGAAGCGAAGAGGCGAGTTCCAGGAAGTAGTCCCGAAGGAGACACGATCGCTGAAACAAGAGCCGTATTGGCCTGACGTTTCAGACTCTCCTATCTGACTCCGTCTCTGATGATGAATTCGAGTGAGAATCCGAAACGTCAGGCTAATAAAGCTCTTGTTCCAGCGATCTTGTCCCCTCTCGCAACGAGATCTTTACTGGCCACCCGCAGACAAGAGGGCAGACAAACCTTCAATCAGTAAGCCAAAGACTGCAATTCCAAAGCTGTTACGGCAAAACAAAATGATGACAACGACATCAGAGATGTGTTCATCAGTCGACTTCCATCCAACCACATTCGGGAATGGCTATTGTATTAGAAACATTTAAGCTTTCAAACTGATTTTCAGCAAGCAAAGTCACTGGAGTAGCTGACAGTCTTATCAGAACCCTCCGACGGCTTCCTCTGCCACTAGTGAAGTGGCCGAAATTCAATCAAGTCCTAATAAACCACCCGATTTAGTGGTTTCCAGTTCATCCTATAACATTTGTTTCTTTCGTGAATACGGCAAGCCTCCTCGCTCGAGGCGTCCCACACGCGACGTGGGTGCAGTAGAGAGGCATTACGTAACCGAAGGGTCTTTCGTCGTCTGCACATCTCCGCCGTAGCATCGGCTACTCTTCTCAACTGCCCTCCAAACGCGGGGGTTGGATTACAACTAAACGGAACTATTATTCATGCCTTGATGGCCAAAGGATGGACAAGCGACTAGTCATATTGCAAACTATGACAAGTATGGCGTTTTCTTTCGCAAGAGCGCCTATCACTTGCTACCCATCCGGGCGGAGGAACGACCACACACAGTCTTTGGACCCTGTAGGTGTTTGTATCAATTTTGTCGAATCTAATTTGACGTGACCAACGGAGTTGCATATTTCCAAGGTACTGTGGACATAACTACGCGCGAGCACCTGAATGACATTTTCATCTAGGTGGACAATCCCATCATTAATGGAAACGGCCTCGCGGGACGTTACTTAAAGTCTCGAAAATTCCTCGACGTGGCCGAAGTATGCAGACTAACCTATGAAGCCAAAAGTACCATTACTGCTAAGCAAATCAAGCTTCTTTGATACGAGGTGTCCAAGATCAACATGAAACCGGATCCGGGTCGCCTAAGGCCCTTGTGAAATGGCTCCTCCGCATGATTTAAAACCACAACAAACCGTAGGATCGTTCGCATACTATTCCCAATGGATATCCCATTTTTCAAATAAAATTCATCTGTCCATTAACAACAAAACTTTCCCCTTACCATTACAGGTAACGGAAGCATTTGAGGCTCCTAAGGAAGAAATTGGGAAAGCCACAATAGGTGCCGTTCGGTATGATATTCCACCGGTTGCCAAAGCCGATGCGTCTGATGTCCCAATTACTGCCACACTTAACCAGAATGGCCGATCAGTGCCGTTCCTTTCACGTAGTCCATCCCCAAATGAGCGAAATTATGTAATTGGAAGAGAAGCATGCGGCGTGGTGAAATTCATACGCAAATGGGGACATTTTCTCCCTTCTAGTCATTTTAAACTCATTACAGATCAGCGAAACGAGATTGGAGAATGACAAGAATGAACGTTGGTGATTTGAGCTGCCATCATTTAGATTCAATGTTGTTTGCCGGCCTGATAGAGAACAGTGAGCGATGGATACGCTTTCTCGTAGTCGTTGTGGGACCCTGATAACGAGTGTCGGAATACATGAGTCACTTTGTCATCCTGGTGTCTCTGGGCTGTCGCACTTTGTTCGAGCCAGGTATCTCCCCTTTTTAATGCAAGAGATTCGCAGTGTCTTCGCCGGAAGTCAAACCCCATTCCTTCCCTAAAACACAAGGCCAACTCATCAAAGCTACTTGCCGTTCGAACGATTGTCAATCGACTTCAAAGGTACACTTACGTCAGTAGCCCACAACTGCTATCTGGTGATGACTATTGAGTAACATCCTTGTTCTCCACTGGCATTTGCCTGTCCTGCTCTGACTACCAAAACTGTCATTAGATGTTTGTGCCAGCTGTCCTCCATATTCAGCACTCCTACATCCACACCGATTTTGGATTGTCAATTGTGTCAAATGGCGTTCAGTAACTTGTCCGTAATAAGGGTGTGGCGACTGGTAGGACAACTCTGTATAATCGCCAGGGAAACTAGCAGGTCAAGTGTTTAAACCAAACTTCGCGGAAGACTAATTTACTTATAGGCAGTATCTTATCACCGACAAAGACAAGGGAGACTGGAATGGTCATTTCTGGCTTATCAGCCGTCGTCAGCCAGTCATACCCAGTCCTGAAATGTGGAACACCCGAGGCTCAAACTCGCGACCTATTAGTTAGAAGTCTAACACCTCTAACCACTGGACAACGGGCTCGTTGTCCTGTCGGTTTCGATCGGAAACATACAATGGTAGAGGGCGCTTACTTATTCTAAAATCTTAAAGCTTGCCGGTCACGTACAGGGGATCCGTTCAAACCGACGCCCTGCAGTCAATAACTTTCGTGTACGCTAATAGTGCGACACCACATAAAAGGATTTTTGTGTACAATCGATGGTCAATCACTAGGATCACTCCCCCTATGTAGCTCACGTTTCCTGGGCGAAATCTGTTGAAGAGAGGTCGACAGTCTCAATATGATCTGCCCGTTGAGGTCAATCTGCTCCGGTGCTAACCCCATTGTGATCACATACAGTTCGATAATGGCATAGAAAGGACAGTATCCGTCCGACCGTTTTCCCTCAGAAAGGATATAGATATTGGTGATTGTCACCAGGAGACGGCTACAGCCATACTCGGAGACCGCATTCCATTTTCCCTGGCCAAAAACCCACAGTGAACAGAAAGGGGACACCATTTCAGGTGACAATCAGAATGCTGCAACACTTCTTAGTGGCCATAGCGATGGCGATGTCCGTATGCATAACCTGGGGAAATTGATCAAACAGCGAGTCCGTCCATACAGCCATTGCAACGGATACGTCTAGAACTTGTCATATGCAAACCTTCCTATCAGATTTGTCAACGCCTTGGTCCCTTCATTTGTTGGTCGGGGAGAATGTCATGCCAACTTACTGTCCTGGCAAAATTCTATCTCAATAACTACTGTTTTTTCTAGTTTTAATTCTAGTGTCAATTGCAAGAGGAATAAAGCCCAATTCTAAGATACACATTAATTCTGATTCTCTCCTACTACTTTGTTTATACGATCTCACTCGCGTGACTGTGGTCATTCTTATTACGACATACCCGTCTTCCCATCATCGAAAAATAAATCGACTGACTTGACAACTTCATTTACCCGAAACACTACATTCTGCGGGTTATTATAGTTTGGCATTAGCGAAACAACATCGACAACGCAGCCGAGATCAGTCGGCCGGTGTCTGTGTGGAATTTTGACACTGAAGACCGCAC